GAAACTCGACGAAGGAGAGATCGATCGATCGTTCGTTGTATTACGTTCGTGCATCAGAAATAAAGTAGAAAAAGCGATGGAGAGAAAAGGAGAAAGATCGACTGACTTACTGGCAATTTTAAACGATCAACAGTCCTTTCTTCGATCGAAATTAAATCAAAACCGAGACCGTAAAACGTTCGAGTATCGCGGACAAGATCAAGATCCTTGCTACTAGTCGAACGATATTCATAGAATCTTTATCGTAGATTATTCGCGGCGTACGAAAATAATATCGTTAGCCAAAGTTCAAAAGCGCATGGTTATATTAAGAACCGATGGTTATTAAAGTTGAAAAATCGATAAAAATGTGCGCGTCATTGATACATCGAAGATATGGAAAGACCATTTGTCTTACGACTTGTACCAAACATCGCAGAGTTTTACACTGAAATATTTCGTTTTAGTCACGCGGTGACATTGAAGTTAAAAAATCAACAAAAACGCTCTTATCGTGCTCTTTTTCCTGTCTTCGAATGTATAAACATCCGCGGTCTAACGAGTATACCGCGAAGCCGATATCGTCGGGTTATTAACGAACGTACGTAATAGCAGAGGGAGCAGTGTTGCGGCGATGGATGTTCCAAGTCACAGCCGAAAATACGAAAGTTCTAACAACGGCTTGTCACCTCCAGAGACAGCCTTAACGCAACAATAAGCGATGGGCCTGACCTAGGCTGTGCAGCGACCGTGACCTTCGTAGCGGATCGAGGCCGGTTCGTCGTTCGTGTGTACTTGGAATTCGCGCTGTGAACGTTTCGTGCATCGTATCGATCGCTGGACCATCTTGTCCCGTTCTACGCTAAACGTTCTCCAATTTTGTATTATACCGGGTCCGATCGATGGGATATCGATCCCATATCGAAAATATTCGAATAACCGGCGGACACCTTTTAGCGGACGCGCGATGCGCGTCGAGCGAAACATTTTGAAATTTCATTAGCTGTGTAACCGAGATTGGACACTGTCACGATTACATCGATAAAATTTGTAACTCGTGGCGAGTATAACGAAACGAAACGTAAGCTTTCGGGAATGACGCACGAATATCGGTAACCAATACACCAAAACTGTGGAAATGTGACGATAATCGCAAGTTTGGTAGCTTCGTCAGCAAACGTGATAGCGAAGCTTAACGGATTCCTGCCAAGAATAGAATGCTTTCGAATGCAAATGCGAACACAACAACGTTGTAGATTTAGCTACGAATTTCCGCTTGCGATTTATCTTACACGACCTCTTAGTTAAGTTTACGTGTCCGTTATTTGACGCAAATGATACACGCGTTACCATATGACGCTCTCTCTTATTAAGAGATGCCGTAAATATAAAGTACTGGGGAAAAAGAAAAATTGGACGGGTTATTGGATCGGATATTGATCCGATCGAAATTTATATTCTACCTATGGAATATAAATTCCCGTAAAAACTTATCTTCCAAATTATAAAGTATAAGTTGAAATAAATGTATGCTCCATCGTTATCGCAAAATACAAAAAAAAAGCAAAAAATTAGATAGACACTAATCTGCTCGAAGCTCGTATTTTAATTATATAATTTATATTCATATTTTATCGTCATTACGAAATATAGGAAAAAACACAAATTAGATAGATAGTACTCTGGAAATTTGTATCTTAATTATGGTATAAATTCGTATGAATTTATATATTTCGTAGAATAATTTCTGTTCGTCTAGTTATCCTCGATTCACCGTACGCAACGTAATTATTACCGCGAACAAACACGATCTAGTTTCGTGGTTTACGCGTAAATACAATTCCGATCGACCATCGGTCGCGATAACGCAACGCTTTGACTGCAATTTCATTCGAATCGTTTGAAACGTTTACGGATGGGATCAAAAGTAAAGAATCGTGCGCGATGGAGCGAGGCGATCGAGCGAGGCGATCAGGCGAGGCGATCGACCGACCGACCATCGAGTGACAAAGATCGATCGATCAGTCGAGGTCGGCGAACAAAAAATCGACGCTCGTTTCAGCAAAGGAGATCGGGATGGGTAGGTAGTAGGTCGAGAAAGAAGGCAAAGACGCGGAAAAAGAGCGAAAAGAATTTGAGAAAAGAGAGGGCCGTTCGTCGAGCAAGAGAAAAAGAACGGCGAAGAAAACGAAGGAGAAGGGACGAAGCGAAAACGAAGAATGAACGCGTAGGAAAGATCACGAGTCGCGACGATCGTACGAGGAGAGAAAAAAAGAAAGATGTAGGTGAATAGGAGAAGAATGCCGACATGGACGAAAAGCGACATCGAAAAAGAAAAGAAAAAATGAAGGAAAAAGAGCGAAAAACGATAAGGGATATTCTACGTGGGTGCGGATGCGCATGCCCGTGTGCGTCTACGAAAGGGGAAAAGAAAGAGAGGAGACAGAGAGAGAGAGAGAGAGAGAGAGAAAAGAGGGAGAAGGTTGAGAGGGAAGAAAGGGGCTGGGGCAATGTTAGAGGCACGCACGAATATGGAAAAAGTTGAGAGAATGGGTACGAAGAGCCGAGGAAGAATGGAACGAGGGGAGAATGAAAAAAAATTCGCACAAACGAATAGTGGAGATCGCGCGACCACCTCCGGCGCGATCGACGAATTTCGCTTGGTTCGCGAACAGAGCGATATAGGTGGCCTAAGGCGATAACCCTCTACGAATATGATACTGGTTCGGCATCGGCATCGGCATCGGCATCGGCATCGACATCGACATCGGCACCGGGCACGATACCATCTCTCATGTCCCATCTATCCACGTTTCTCGTCGCTAGCTTCTTTTCTAGTTTTTGCGCGCTCCTGGAGAACAGGACCATCTTTACGAGCCGAGTCACACACGCCTCGAAACACATTTACCACGTGTTTCGGATACTTGTCTTCCACGATATAAAAGATCTATCAATCACTCGTTGTGTATTCTTATTGACATCGTTTCAGCGGCTAATCTTTCCGATAACGTAGTGACTTTCGAAACGGAGACGTTTTTAGTCGCAACCGAGCCGAGGAATCGAAGAATAGATTCGAATCGGCAAGATCAGCGAGAATCATAGTGATGCAACTCTGTAAGTCGGTCCTCTGCTATATTTCGTAACGTTCTATTATTTAGTGGACGAAACAAATCTCTATTTTTAGCACCACTTTTTTTATTTACGTCCGTAAAAGTGTAAAATTTTGCACGAACATCTCTGGTTATACGAAACTAAGGGAATCGTCAAACGCGACTAAATTTACACTCTCAAGATCTTCACGCACGATATTGTAATCTGCCATAGCGCTATTTATCCATAACCGTTCGCCATACGCCTTTCACCAACCGTGTTATTACCATGTTTAAGTGTAAATTCAAACGGAGCAAACTAACAGTTACGTGGCAAGGTGGTAAGGATCGCGGACGCGTTTGAAAGAAACCACCTATGTATTCCGATCGATACTCGAAAAATATGTACGTTATGTCACGGTACGTCGAAGGATGCGGTTAACAAGCGTGTCTTGCTTATTTTGACTATTATTCGGACGAGAGTTTGATCGTGTAATAGCAGCCGATCCCGCCGACGTAGTATCGCTAACGGGTCGTTTCTCTCGATCGTCTACCGACAATGGCCCTATAATTACGCGATAATGTAACGATTACTCGCTTCTAAAAAGTTCTCGCAAGCACCTGTAATCACAAGATACGGGACACCCAAGAACGTGCCGGAAGATAGCGTGTCGTATTTCGTGCGAGTCCTGTCAACCGACGATCGTAGATAAATCGGCTATTAAATGTAAAATCGCTCGTAAATGATCGGCTTCGCGCGGCTCTCGATCGGACTTTTGCTGTTTCAAGGAGAAAGCCCCTGATTTCTTCCAGATACGAGAAAGAAAAAGAGAGGGGACGCGTGTATCTGTAAGAGATAAAGCAATCCTAAACACAGGTCACCGGTTTAACGTAATTATTATGTAGTATAGGTTGAAAACAGCGGAGATATCTTTGCCTCGAGGATTTAACCCATCTTTTCTATGCACATTTATGCACGTTCTTGCAACTTTGTTGTCGAATATACACGGTGACCGAAATAATTAGGACGAGCAGAAGTTGTCCTCGTCGCTCAAAAAGATCGCGATAGTCGTGTCTCGTTACAGCGCTAACAAAGTTTCAAACTTTTCAATCTCAAAAAATGTTCGTTTCAAGCGTTGAAATACTTTCGCGGGTCACTGCGACCTGTACCTTTAATCCTTTTATTTCTCTAAAAAATTGCAAGAAGAAATTCTACGAAACGGCAGAATGACTAATTGTAGAAGGTGATTAAGCGCGGTATCTAAGCCGTGTTTAAACTTTCCTGCCAGGGACTGTTTGACGCGTAAAGCAATCGTACCTAATTCAGAAACTGCTGGAAGAAGCGACCAACCCTCGAAGCCGAAAGACAAGATCGAATTTCAAATCGATGGCCGGTGCTGCTGGTTTCATCTGACGGCAGAAGCGAAACGAGCGAAGAAACCTGAAATATTTCTTTAGCCGAGCAAGTTATCGACTGAATTTAAAATACGCGACGCGAATCGTGTAATTCGTTAGGCGACTGTGACACTTTATCCCCGACGAAGAAAGCTAATCTCGTTGCCAGTTTTGCTCTTCAACTACCGTTAATGGGTAAAGTCACGGGCAAGTTACACCCATTTATGTTGTAGTTTAATCGAGCGATCGTTTACAGCGAAGTACATTTCAATTTAAACTACAATGTAACAAATTGCGGCGTATAGGATCGCGGAAAAACGAAACGAATGGCTCGTTGAGGCTCGAAAAGGTTAATTCGGTTAACGTCGCCAAGGAAAAATACGGCAGTTGCAACGTACGACGCGCGATCGTTGCAATTGTACGCTGTAAAATAATTTTGTCGAGTAGAATAGCAGTACTTTTCTCGTGTAACAGAATGATCTTTTTTCAACGTCGAATGGAGAATCGGAAAGGATGGAAAGAAGATTTGGAACTTACGAGGTTGTGCCAGGGCGAAGACGCTCTCTGTTTTGGCAGCATATTCGTCGATCTCCTCGTAATGAGGAGTACCGGGCTCGAGAGGTTGAGGTTGATCGGCCTGCATTCCGTACATATCCATCAACTTCGAAATCGGCGGAATTCTTGGCAGAGCTCTGCCCGTCATGTTCGGAGCTTGTTTCAAGCCGAGCTTGTTCAAAATTTGTTCCTTGATAGCTTCGAGGCTGAGGGCTCTGATCTCTTCGTGCATCCTACAAGCGTTACAGGTGTTACCAGCCTTCGCTAGATATTTGATACGAACTCTGTCGATGCCAGGAACGTCGAAGGCACCAAAGAGGACTAGCAAGAGTAGTAACAGCGCCCCCCTGACCATCTTGCTCAAGGTCGTTCTTAGTCGGATCGGTTACGATCGGTTTCCCCCGCAAAGCGAGCGATCAGATATTTGACTTCATCGCTACGCTTTACCGATTTTATCGCCGATCCCTCTCTCTCCGCAAAGGTATCGCGCCCTTTGCACCTGTGTTCCGATTTTTTTATCTCGCGCGGATCAGGAATTCGTACGGTTCGTCTGCTTTTCCCTCTTCCTCTTCCTCTTCCTCTTCCTCTTCCGCTTCCACCTCCTTTTCTTCTTCTTCCTCTTCTTCTTCTTCCTCCTCCTCC